CTTTACAAAACCTAAGAAATCCTCAAGGTATGTTTATTAACAGTCGGTATTGACGGTAAGTAGCTTAGTAATTAATAAATTCATGTTTGTTTTCTTTCGAATCAGATAAGTTGAGTTCAGAACAACAGTCCTAGACTAAAGAAATTGTTTCTTATAAACTTCCAGAAACCCAGGGATTCGATGCAACTATATAACATTTAAGAAAAGTATGAATCATACTACTATTGTTCTATTTCTTGGGGAATCAAGTTTCATAGTCAGTCAGTTGCAACGTAGAACGTGGTACGTATGTACATCGATTCAACATACTATAACCTATTAGCAAAGCCAGACGAAATTTCATTGGGGTTGGAGTATAGAATTCAGTATAACAAGTGTTTTCTTCTTAAAAGCAGAATTTTTATGTTTGAAAATACAGTGATTGAACGTGCATTAATCACCTACTTTTAGAACCGCATACTTAATGTGCAACCATTGAACGAACCATCCTAAAGTCCGTTATATAAGTTTAAGCAAGACAGTAAAATCTGTTGACAAACTAATAAGTGCACATTAAGATTAATAAAGTATAAGTAACACACACTTACGTATACCCTAGGTATATACGATATACATGAAACAAAAGAAGCATCATTATGGAAGGGGAACAATAAAGCGATTCCCCGATCGAACATTTGAAAATCTAATTTACTCACATGTATTAGTTCAACCAGTTTAACAGTAGAATTACCAATAATTGTTACGGCACATAAATTACAATTCAAACCTAACCCCACGTGCATCTGTACATCGTCAATATGCTGAATTACGTTGTTCCATTCAGTTTTATAAATTGTAATAATTGTAATAAAATGATACACTTACACTCAGACAATGAAATCTATAGGCATAACAAGCATCACCTCACTCAATCACTTCCTCTTTCTATATATAAACATAGTGACAGTAGTTACTCAATTACTTTATAGTTAACCTTTGATGGGGTCGTGGATGCGCACCACTAAGAAGTCCCATACTAAGATAAAATAGTTATCCAGTGCTTTCTGGTCTTTAGTAGTTGTTCAACTAAGATCAGTCTGTGATGTTAACCATGAAATTGAAAAAATTCTTACAAACCTTAATAGTATTCGATTATTGTTTAGAGAATAATTATAGTTATTGAGCACGATATATTGAACGACGGCGAATAATTTCAACTGGTCTTAAAAAACAATACATTTCTTAGAGAAAAGTGTTCTAATTACGACTAAACCATGCAAATTATTATATATATGAATTATTTCAGTATGAAATAAATAAACAAATGGGTGGATGAGCACGTTATATTGACAGACTGTTGAGAAAAGGTAAAAAACATCGAAATAAAGAAGATAAAGAGGAAACTAAGCAACTCGAGTTGAAGTGTTGAGATTATTACAAAAGTAATTATTCTTTTCTTAAAAACTATTTATATGTGTGTAAAAACTCCAAAGCTTAGATAATAGAAAACTTGAGTCGAGAACAGGAAGTTGAAAAAAAGTATGAAATAAATTTAAAACTTGGGATTTAACGAAATACAAAGAGTGAATTCATATATTATTATTATTATCGATTCTGAAGCACTTCAACCAACGTCTATAATTATTGGTCATGATAGTTACTCTGATTGCAACCAGGTTAGTTTGCAGCTGCCTATATGGCAAATTAAGTTAGATGTAGGTAGCGCTGAGACTTTCAAACGCGTGGGTTACATATTCTAGTCCCATTCCATATTGTAGAGTTCCGACAATTTGAAAGTAATTATCAACACAAACCGATATCAAAAGGAGAACTATCCAACATTGCAAATTTTTTGTCTTAAATGACCAGAGGATCCAAACACTAACATACAAGTAGACTGAGAGTTATCAAGTCTCATGGTGATTGTATTAGATAAAAATCATCCTATATTACAAATTCAATGATAACGAAAGTGGTATGTCCATCCCAAGTAACCTGTAGCTGGTTAATGAGTGTAGGTACACATATCTGGTATATCACATACCTATGTTGTGATATATTCTTTTATCCTTTGTACTTTTGTTATAATAACCTGTTGTTCTGGTCTGTATCTGGTTCTTGGACGAACAGTCAGATTATCGAGTGAGAATGTATCACGTGGTTAGACAAAGTCAATATTACGGAATAAAGTATAGATCATTTTCTTACTTAATGGCTTGAAGGTATATAGAGCTAGTTGAAAGATAAAAGCCTGAAGATCTTGCACTTATTCATGGGTACGCGCATTGTTGAGATGCCTTCGCTAGAACGAAATATAATTTCCTAATACCGTTTTGTTGCCAAAGGTTCGTCACGATATGTCACCATACGTACATCTAATTGATGATACTCTTCTTTGTGTGCTTATACATTATTATTTTAGGCGATTGGGTTTTATTCATTGTCTTAAAATAGATATAGTTTATAACGCCAATGAAAAATTTGAACCAAGTTATCGAGTTGTCTTGTATAATGTTTATTCAATCGGATTAGAAGATATGCTTCATAAAGAACAGTCATCGAATGACTACTCATCTTTATATTTTGGGTTCAAGTCAACCGAAAATCAAAGATGTTAGGAGTGTAATAACTTAAATGATCTCATATGTAGTTATTGTTTATCTTGCCTAATACTTACTAATTTTTAGGAGGATGAAGAAGATAATGCAGTTCAGTAGAAGTATTTTGACAGTGTTTGTTCTCTAACCTATTCATTGCCTTACTATACAGTATCATCTGGACATATTTTAAAAAATTAATAATTTGTTATAGGATATAAATTCAAATCGATAAGCAAATGCGGGCTTTGTAAAACAAATTAAGTAAGGACAAACTGTATAATATTGGAAGAGTGCAATTTGAACACGCATAGAATTATGACTGATTAGAAGTAGAGTGTGAATAAATAAATAAATTGATCTACAGATTTACAAAACAGTTGTGTTTTGATTGATTAAGTCTTTAGTTTGTTTTTGCTTTTCCATAGAATGAAAAAAATATAAGAATTGATTTAGAGAGCCTAGTGACGAATGAAAAAATCAAGTTATTACAGTGTTGACTAGATATTTGTGTTTATGGTGTTGGGAATGCTAGATATTCCAGTCAATTAATTAGAACAATGTAAGTCTTCATAAAAAAATATGCATCTTCCCAGTTTGCTACATTTTTATCAATGTTTGTCTAACTGATACTGCTAATAAAAGTTAGATTAAATCGGAGTTAAAGCAATATTCAAATTAGTGACCTCTAGATGATATAGATAAGTAAAGTAGGCGAATAATTTTGCGCTAAAGATATCTACCAGTTAAAAAGGGAATATACTGAGCTATAAAGCACATAAGTAAGGCAGATTCACTTATGATTAATAAAGTATTTAAGAAAACATATCATAAGGTAGAATGAATTACAAACTCAAATGAAATAAACACTGTAATGAACTTATAAGAGAAGCTTGTGTGTATATGCTTAAAAAATGACTATTACATATTCATAAACATGTTTGTATGCACATATAACTGACTGCATAATTGTTTGGATTACTAATGGTATCAGTAGTTTCTATTACATACTTATTTCACACTCTAAATGTGTATAAAATAGTTTTCAAGGTTGAATTTAAGAGATTAATGCCCTCAGATAACCAAAATCTGTAGAGATGCTGGGTTTTTTTTACAACAGTGGGGGGTTAGACAACGTCGAACCAAGAAACTTTATATCTTGCCTTGCCCCATATATTTTCGTTGCCAGTGATAAAGCCTCATAATACGGATCTAAAATATTTAAAATCCCATGTACCCAGCCTTAAGCAGTTGTCCTCTAAACATTCTGGTCAAGCTGCGTGGTAGTCATGACCATTTCAAATCCATTTCCTTTTTAAGCTCCTCAAGAAGAAATAGAATCTTCCCATAGTTTTTGACAGCTAGCAATTGGTAATTACCCTCATATACCTCTAACAGCCATCGAGATAATTTTATTCACATACGTTGGCAACAAGAAAAATGGGAGTCAATACACACACTAAATGCGAGGGCTAATGAGACTGTTCGGTTGCCCATATAAAAGTGGATGAATTGTGATTCGAACCTGTGAATTAATGGCTAGAAGTTAAATGCTCTAACAACTGCTGAGCTATTGATCCACTTCCAATAAAGTATCTATTCTATTCTGATCTCATGATTCGATTATTAACTACATTTAAAAACAAGCAATCTAGCGTTTGGGCCTGTTCAATAGATATCCAGCATTCATGGCCACTCAGTTTATAACATGTCCTTTAGCTCATTTCATATACCAATCATAATAGTCAGTATAAGGTTGTGGAGATTGTCGAGTTTCATTGAAATGATGAACTGATCAATGTTAGACAACCATCGTCCTAGTATGGGACCCCTCAGAGGTGCTCATCCACAACTTTGGGTACGAAAACTGAACCTAGGGTCTTTGGTCTCGCACGCAAATACCTAACTTCTAGACCACTTAGTTGAAATCTAATAGTCTTAATAAGTAACTTCAATCAATCCGCGATATTCATAACGGATTGGTTAATTTCACCACTACCGAAGTCATTGTTTTTATCACAGATATACAATTGATTGTCTAAATACAAAGATTTATTAAGTTTTTTATTAGTGATTACTAAGTGCTTTTTAGTTCTCAAGTTTTCGTCTTGTACCATCATCACCAATCATGACAACACAGGTTTATCACCAGTTTGCTTGTTGACCGAAAAATAGATAATAGAGAATGTGTCCACACTAAAATAAATTCTACAGTACAATACCACAACTAAGTAAGTAATTATTATATAACTGGAACATTTGAGAGATTAAGGCAAACAAATACACTGTGGATAATAGTTAGAATGACCGTTTCGTATGTAATTATATGAAAGAGAGAAAAAACATTGATAAGAACCACAGGATAAATCAAAAAAAGGAAAAATAGAAACCATTTGAAAAAGTAACAATCGCAAGTCCACTTACCTTAACAATCATTTGAATTTCCATATCATTGAATAATCGTCCACCTGAATTCATGGAATCGCCAATAGGATGTCTTTGACTATTGTGAATACTATTATTAGTATGATTTGGTTCACAATCAATATGATGACTTAGTAATGTATCTCTAGATGAATAATTCAATTGATTATGATCATTATTCATACAATATTGATGCGGATGTTGATGAGGATGATCCGATAGGTTCATATCCTGATTTGACTGTATAGGAGTAAGTAGATTTTGATGAGAGTTAACTGTACTACCACTTGGTATAGTAGAAAATTTTGAAGGAATTATACCTAAAGAAGTGTTATTATTATTATTACTGCTATGCCCATGTTGAACAGATGAATGCAACTGAAGTGGAAGCGATGATTGTGAATGTGTCGGAGGTGGCAGAGGCGGTGGCGGTAACGGTGGAAACGGAGGTGGTTGCAGAGGAGGAGCAACTGAAACACCAGGAATTTTAGATAATGATTTTTGTGTAGAAGGATTGGATGAATGATTATTTGGTTGCTTAGAATAATAATTCACAGTTTGATTGACAGAATTCAAATTACAACCAGGATTACAGTCTAAAATATCATGATTAGAAGCGAGATCTGATGTATCTTGAAAACAATAAAAAATAAATGAACACGTATACACATAAAAAATAAAGTTATAAAGAGAGTTTTGTCTTACATATGATTAATAAACAAGAATAAATACCGAACAAAATGTTATAACTGTGATCCAGCGTTTTCTAACTAAAAATTTGATACCTATGGAAGAGAGAACAGAAGTTAACTCGCTTTTTTGTCATCTTGTTCTTTAAATCTCTCGTAAAAGTGACTTTTTAAAATCAATTCGCCAGGCTTACAAATTCGCGTAATTGGTTTCGGGTCGCATTTTATGTCCAAGTTAGTTATAATACCTGGCTCCTTGAACTAAAGTAGATTGAGAGGGAGTTGAACCTATGATTTAGTGGCTGAGAAACGGAAATCTGAACCACTGAGCCACCGCTCGCAAATGGCTTACTAATGTAAAAAAAGCATGTAACAAACGAATAAACTATCTGACATTTCATAATACAGAGATAAGTTATAACTCAAGTTGAATATTAATTGCCTTGCTACAAGCTATGAAAATCTCCAATTGAAATTGATACATTATTGCAATATATTTACCATGTACAATTTCATTTAGTCACAAGGAGAGAAGCATTGATTCTACTCGGCCTCCTGGATTTAGCGGGGTTACAACATGTGATTTATTGATTGGAAGTCAAATAGAGTTCCTAAACTATTAAGCTACTGTTGGGGAATTTTTTCATTACCTTTCTTGTTAGAAATATAAATCAGATAATTAGTTTTGAATTATTTAAAATTAGCAAACATTATGAAATTCAATCATAAAGAATAGAACTTAACATGTAGTGATAATTATCAGAGTTTAAAATGTATAGTTCAGAAGAAAGAGAAACGACAGTCAATGATTAAAGTGTAATAGATGAAATTGTATTACAGTATTAACATTGTATCATCATAATTTTGTGCTTTTCGTTTTTTTTTTTTGTTATTTTCAATTTTATAACATGAATGTTTATTCGTAGTTCGTTAACACACTGCTGGTATTGTAATCATTTTTATTCCTTATATTAAAGTTCCTTCAATATTTTAATGGTATGTTGTATAGAAATGACAAAACACAATGTTCTAAGTTATCTCTATTTATCTACATATGCATGAACTAAACAATGAGAATATTAGAGAAAAGTAGGCTCTATCTAACTCATCGTTAGTAAGATGTAACCTGTGTAGATATATATCGTGAAGAGATTTCAGACAGTTGATAATAAATTGTTTAATCATTTATCATGCATGATGGAATTATCGACCGAATTAAGTGTAGAAATTTTAAGATGGAGGATAACTTATTCGAGAAAATAATAAATCAAATGAAGTGTGTTTTGTATGCCTTAAATGCTACATTTCAATCGACCAGTCTCAAGTCGAAAAATGATAATATTAATTCAAATAGACGCAAACAACAAAGATATCGTAGTGAAAACACTAAAATTTATATAAAATTAACAAAATAGTCTTCTTTTAGGATTTTCTCGATTCTAGTCCTAATTGGCTGAAAATAGACCAGTTAATGTGCTCCTAATTGAACCTGATCGGTGAGTATGAAATGGTCAGGACTATATTCTGCTAACAAAATAATTAACTCATGTGCTTATGATGTCCAACCAATATATATTACTCTATATGAAGGTAATTTTCGTCGCAAAATGAAATCAGTCATAAATTCATCTGGAAGTATGAAAACCTGGGCCTACTAATTCATCTTGTTTAGTTCGACTCTGGTGCAACAATCGGCGTGTACTATCCTAAATGAAATTAAAACAAGAACATGAATATCAGTAAACCAGTATCTTCGTATTTTCGACTTCAGATGATATTTTTATTACAGCAAAATCCTTTCATTCACTATCATCGACAAATGACTACCAGCTTATTGGCTAATTCGTTGAGTGCAACGTACAGAATGATATCGTACTTCACATGAGAGAGAAAGTAATAACCGATTGCCCTTTTTAAACATATTTTTAAGTCGAAGGAATGGTGGAACTACAAGGTGGTTAGTTTATACGGGGCCAACCTAAACTAGTCAATATTTAAATTTCCACAGTTTCTAAATAAATAATATATTTGTAATATCCCAATGAGTAGAAAATTAGATTTTCTGACGTTTCGTGGCTTAGTGTAAGTCACTTCTTCAGAGAATAAATAATAAAATCCACAGTTTCTTCATAAAGTGCTCCTTCAATAGGACTCAAAGAATATCCACTACAGATAAGTTGGAAGAAGATACGAAACTGCTGGCTAAAACGTTAATATCAAACGTTTATCCACTAAAGTTTGTAAATAGGTAAAAAAAGTCAGTCAACACTAAAACCTCTTTTTAAACCTTCTGAGGAGAAAAGCTTTTATATAATATTATCGTTTAGAGGAGAATTGGATAGAATAGTTTTGGAGTAGAGACTAAAAACAGCAATCGAGAAAACATATTACGCTGCTCAACTGGTTGTGATTGAAAGGACTAAGCCCATGATTTTAAATTGACTTAGACATTGCACAAACGATCATATCAAGTCCCACCGCATTTACTAGTTCACACGTTTGTGTGAACACACACACATAGAGAGGAGTAATTGAACAATACAATCAAAGGTTATGTTGCATGCGTCTAGATGGCTTCAGAACCAAATCCTTTAATAAACGTGACACGTAGAAAACCATGTTCATCGATAGTAGAGCACATAATTGAACTGGAGCATAGAATTGACATAGATACAGTTTTGAAAACAAGGTATAGAAATTGTCAAGAACGAATACTTAGTTTTATAAAAGCCTTAGTTGTTCATAAATTCAAACCCCCTTTATGTGTACAGAAACAATTCGGCGTAACCTTGGAGTCACCCTGGTCATTTCTAAGACATTTCATTATCTAGGGTGATGAGATAAATTCTTATTCGATAAGTAAGAAAAATTGTTTCAAAGAAGAGTTCTTTGTCTGTAAATTCATTTTCAAAGCTGTACAATCACAAATATATGCTTATTTTTCAAAATGATCATAGTTACGATAATAGTGATGATAAAATTCCGCTAAACATGGTAACAGTGAAAGAGAATAAGCAAAGGTATAAAAACATTCTTCTTATCAAGGAAACATAATAATTGTGTTGAGTAAAACCACGATAGAAGTTATATAAGTTTCTCTTGGACACATAATCCTGGTTTTTCCCATATTTATAGCCAGTGCTTCAGGGATGTTAAGAAGATGGGATATAACTGTCTTTGGAAGCCTTTTACTAACCTTGTAGATGATCTTGAGCACACAATCTGTTTTGATTGAATGACCTGTGTCCACAAGGTTTTCGATTGTTGAGCTTCTTATTGAGTCATTTTCTTCTGTTTTCAACAAAGTTGGACAATGTTTTCGAATTCTTCGGGATAAAATACGCATTGAACGACCTATATGCCTGGCTCCACATGAACAGATAAATTAACAAACGCGCATAGATTTGGTCAAATGAGATAATTTATCCTTAAGATTATTGGTGAACATTTGTAGACTGGACAACACTATTCGCAAAGTTATTGAGAAGAACGTTAGATTGAAAGATTCAAAAATTCTTTTCATCAGGACGTCTGCAGATATATCACCTTTGAAATTAATGTCCATGTTAAGTTCGCAACTCGATTAACGCAGAATACAGTATACAACTACGGCACTCGAATGTATATAATCCCAACAGTCACAATCATCGGTATCGATAGATATTAGCGTTTGTTATATCAACATTATAATACAGCCAATCCGCAAAGAGGCATGTTATACTACTGTCCAATAGTAGCATGTCACATTGATACTCTAGAAAGCTCCACCACATTCTGATTAGATGGTAGCTCTTCGACTCCTTTAGAACCTCTGAAGGCTCCGTCGTAGTTCTCGGAAGCCGTCCTGACAGTTCATAGGAAAAGTTTTATTTTCTACGGAGGTTATTGATGCTTTAGGAGGTTTGAGTTGTATATTCTTATCAACAAATATCGATGGATACACGTTTATGATAAGTATTTTCTTAAGGAGGCTCGGTCCGTTATCCATGACGTTGGGACTAGAAATTCTTCATATCCGTGAGACGAGGGATATACTTAAGTTTCTTTTCCGACTAATAAGGACCCAGCTGTGAAAAACTGATAGCTGGCCATTCAACAAACATTTTCTGTAGATGGATCTTCTTACAGTTAAGTCGTATTTCGTTGTTATTTTGACGTCAAGAAAGTGAATACTTTGCTTGTTTTTAATTTATTGTGTGAAATTGATGGTCAAGTGGCAGTTGTTAAACGTCTGCAGAAAATGATTTAAATCATATTTATTGGCACAAATGATAAAAACATCAGCAACATACCTTTTATACAAGTGGAATTTGTCAACGGCCGTTTTAAGTCTATTGTTTTCCAGACTGCCCATGATACTATCTCCTAGTAACGGACCAAGACAGGACCCTATTGTTATCCCATCCTTTTGCCTATGAGATACGTCGTTCAGTGTAAATTGTACATTACAAGTGCATCGTAATGGTAATTCCTTTAAACAAAATTCCGGTAGCTCGATATTAAACTCATTATCACTTATGTAACTGAGTGGAACGTTAGTGAATGGTGATTCGACATCAAGTGAAAGGATAAGTTTGTCATGTACATTCACTTTTTTTATGTAATCAATGAATTCGAAAGTATCATTAAAGGAATCTATACAAATGCGTTTTCTTGTGGGTTCCAGATCAGCCAGTCACTTTACTATAGAGTGGTAAAGGGATCCGGACATATCAAGAATTGGTCGGTCAGGTAGGCCAGGTTTCTGTATTTTAGGCAAATCATATGGTTCTATTGTTTCTAATCATTCCATATTACATGAGTTTCCTCTCTCTTTTATCTACAATTGTTACTTTGTGTTCATTTAAACTTCCATTTAATTGATCTTTATTAATTTTCATATAAAATGCCTTGACTAGTATGTGACCAGATTGTTCGAAACGTATAATGCAAGTACATAACATTTTCTAGACCAACTCCGTTTTCTCATTTTTTTCCGATATTCACTGAGTTGATCTAGTTTGGCATGTGTATCATTCATTCACTTCATTGTATAAAGATTTTTATAAGTTATAATATAACTAATGATAAATAATCTACTGGGAAGATCAATTTGCAATGAAACAATAATCAAGTATGACCAATCACCACCTACTTTAAGGCGTTCAATCAAACTTACCTGGAATTTCAGATATGATTGAATCTTCTATTTCAGCATAAGATTCATGTGGATTAGTAACCGGGATTATTTTATTATGTGATACTTGTATCCAGGATGGTAAATCAGGTGGGATACTATTTATCCAACGTTGAACATGTAGCATGCGTTCCTGACAAAAAACAATAATAATAATAATAATAATAATAATAATAATAATAATAATAATAAAGAGAAGGAATATTCACATGACTTTCAAGTTCATTTAATTTATACAGCTTAATAATCTTGATGCTTGATAAAAAAACATGGCAAATCAACAAAATAGGATGTTTTGTTTTTACTGAACAGAATTTTAAAACATGCAATCATTTGATCTAGAATAGTGTTTTGTCTAGGAATTTATTAATTCAACTTCTATACTACTACTGTAGTGAACGAGGAAGTCAAGTGAAGAAAACCAATTTACTGTTTAATGCACGATCACATAGTGGTTTATTACAATGTGAAAATCATACATCAATTACATAATTTGCACATCTTTGAATTGTTTCTTAAAGGCTTCATTGTTCCTTCATTCCTGTTACTATCTTGATTGCTTTCGATTTCCTTCTCTCTTTTCTTCATTTCAATCTTCTCAACCTGCTCTCAGACAACCTACTTCCGACTGGTGTCACATACTACATATATCTGCAAACGTGAGTAGCATACACCTCACTACTACTGCTGATGACAGCTTAACAGGAAACTCTGACGGCGTTTAAACTGAAATAAATGATTATATTTTTATTTTTTATTTAATGTAAAGAATTGCATCTCAACTAAAATAATCAGCATAGTGTCAGTTGTAAATATCTTATATATTTACATATAGAGTGATTTTTTTACAATCCTTTTATGGTGAATATAAATAGTAAGGATTTACTACAGATATATGCATTTTCCGGCGTATAATAGAGAGCAGTAAATATGATACTTTCATTAGATGTTGTGTATAAGTACGATGCTGACGATATGAGAGAATTTCGTGACGCGCTTTAAAGCAACATCCATCCTTTGACACATAACGAATACATTACGATAAGTTGCCAAAAATAACACTAGACAAAAAGTATTTACTTAGTTATAATGTATCAGATTGAAATGTCAAGCACATAGAATTATTCATCAACTCAATGCAAAAATAAACACATATAATGAAAGTATTTGGTTGAATGCACTTAATTCACTAGTCTTACAAAATTGAAATAATATTAATCATTTGCACCTACTATTTGATATTGAGAATTCATAATGACTCCTGGATGATGTGCTAATATGAAAAAAAAACAGACACACAAAATCGTTTGTTTTTTTTTATACTTAACTTTACGAACTGATCTCTAAAAACACCTAATATAATACTAGTGATTATATGCTCATGAGTGACTAATTTCGAGAGGTGATTCAAGGAGTTCAAACGACAATTTGTGACCAATGAAGTCCGACCATGTCGTGTCAGGCAGTTGTCCACTACAGGCAATAGAAGATGACTGCACAATATCGCGAATTGATTGGAGGTAAACATCTAAACGATCGAATGCCAACTCAGTGGTCTAAAGATTAAGATCTTACAGCAAAAATTGAAAGTCTTAAGTTCGACACCTGTTGGAGTTGAAACTTCATAATATTGAGTTTCATGTTGGGAGCTAACACATGTCCAGTGTTTCCTAGCTTTTAATGGTAGTTTAACCAACATCATTCCATGATGTTGACTATGACTCCTTATATAGTATAAATGTTTATGATTTCACAAGTTAAAACGCTAATTATGCAAAATGTGACCGCCAAAACATAAGTATCATCAAAATTAATTTGTTTCCTTTTTCTCTGTTAACAAAATAGTGAAAATGATCAAGTATCACTAATAGAATTGATGAAAACGAGATATTTCGATTTTCCGACTAACAGAAAAACACAAAAAAACTGATGTATAGTGACAAAGTCCCCTCCTTTCTCACAACTCTGTACACTGGTAAATAAAATAATGTAGTGATATAATAACACTAATAATAAGATTTTAATATCATTTCTTAATGTCACAGCAAAGAATTAGAATTCTTTTTTAGACGAGAATTTTGTAATATTGAAAAGAGTTGTTAAAAACCCACGTTTATGTTAAAATATCATATTCTTTTACTTTTGGGTTGCTCAGTTAAACTTAGTGACAGATTTCTAAACAATCTTTTAGTAGGGTTAAATCGCTCGACTTGATAAGATAATCTAGTAATCAAGCTATATATATATATATATATATATATATATATATATATATATATATATATATATATATATAGCAAGTTAATGCATCTTACAATCGATGTATTATTGACTTCTACAATCAGTCAGTTAGCTACAACGTAGGACCAGACACACATATGCATCGGTCCAAATCGTCAAACTTCATTAGTACAAGATGAACATGAAATTCATAAAAATAGTTACTTTACTTTAATGTTAGTTAGATATAAAAGATAGATTATGCATAAGGATATGATACAGGAAGAAAGAATTGGTTCGTAGAAAGAAAGGTATAAAGAAAGTTTAATCTCACAGTTTAAGGAAAGATATAAAAAGTATACATCTACGCTATTGTGGTCGATTCTGAGCCATGTCATCAAGAGTCTCCAACCATTAGTTACGATAGCCACGCGGACTCCAACCAAGTAGTCTGTATCTAAAAACATGGCCCAGACTATAAGTAAGTGACTTTATGGACTAATGCCAAGTTTTGATTTGGCCGTCTCGAACTTTCTCCCGTCCGTCTCCAATATTAATCGGCATTGCGCGTCGTGGTAATCGGTGGTTGGGCATGAACAATACGTGGTCCAACCATTTCAGTCGATGAGGATTTACAACCTCATCAACTGACTTAACATCATTCCCTAATACCCTGAGTCTAAACTCACTATGACTTACCCGTTGATCCCACCATATGCGAGCAATACTTCTAAGACATCTGTGATCAAATACCAGTAACTTACGAGTATCTTCTACTCTTAATGATCACGTTTTACAGAAAATAAATTGATAAAGATACTTAGAGAGGGGTTTTGTGGATATTATAGTAATTTAATAGCTGAATCCATGAGTCATTTGAAGCTAGATCACCATGCAAAATCTGGAAGCACAGTATGGCCGTTTCGTTATAGTATGGGACTCCTCAGCGGCGCGCACCTATGATCCCGCCCCGCGAGATTATAATCATCATACGCTCACTAGTGACTGTCTTCAAGAGGTATTTCCTGGAGTTATAGTGAGCAGCAGTTACCAGTGGAGTTCAACCGATTCTGTCGTGAGATGGTAACTCACCGAAGACAATGGTGAACGGTGGCGCAATTTCGTGGTTTGGTTAAAGTTAGACATTAACACCACTGGATGCCGGCTCAGTGGTCTAGAGGTTAAGCGTTCGCGCGCGAGACCGAATGCAGACCATTTTACAGAAATCATGAAATTGATACAAAATAGAGATAGAATTTCGACAAGAAATAAAAACATGTTATTCGAAAAGACGTATTTCATAAATTATTTAGACTGAAAATTCATTATAAAGATTGTAATAATATGAAGCACAATGTGTAAGCAAAATTCATAATCAGTGATGATATCATTTTAGAGTACAGCATAAACACTGTAGAATATATTGATTTCATAAGCATGAAATTGTCTTCCATAAGTTGACGTATAGAAAACTTAAATAAGCAAAGAAAGTTTTCTAACTACAACTTCTTCATGAGGAATATGAAGTAATAGATGTGACATATTCCCCAAGGAAATTACGTAATAAGTTTTATCTATTAATGGTACAACCTAGTGTTACACAACAATTCCGTAGTACAGTATAAACTAGGTTGAAAACTTTTAAAATATGTTTCATTTATAAAGGAGAACTGAGTTTATTAGATTAACATTAATGTACTAAGATTTGTAAATGAATTTTTGATTCTTGTTAGCTAATGATTGTAGCATTTAAGAACCAGTATTTTCTTAGTAGGAGGACTGAGAAGTCATTTTTGTAAAATAAGCAGTTTTGTGTATGTTCAAGTGTAAAAAGTATCGTTCGAGGGATAAGAAGTTACTAAGTCCTTGAGAGCCCCCAAATGCCCTGGTATGGCCGAGAGCGGGGAGGGTTCGCCCTCCCTCTCGAAATACTCTCACACGGCCACGCGTATACAGCCTCTGCCAGGGAAGTCCTACTCACTGCCTTCTCGCACCACGGGTGTTGTTTACGAAAATGAGAGGACGAAAAGCAAACGTCCGGCGCTATAACCGGATCCCAATTATATGGTGCACATGGGCTCCTGTATCCTGAAGAAACAAATGGCGTATGAACCAACTTTTGGTCACCGGCTTCCATGGGACCGCATCTCCTCATGATGCTCCACTGCCTTGTGGACTAGACCCTTGGGTCAAAGGCTCGGGGTGTGGCCTCCTAAGAAAACCACCTGCTTCGGTTTGGACACCCGGGCAGTATCTCAGCCCACGCACTAAAACCATGATGATGAACAATTTGCTTATGGAAAATATTCCTTTCTATCTGATTAACATTGAAATAACTCGTACTATTATTATTATTATTATTATTATTATTATTATTATTACTCTACCACGTCATTTATTCACTCTCTCTTATTCCCACTTTATGTATCCGTCTCGACTTAGACAGCAGCTCGCCTATGGTGGACATTCGGCTCTATCTAAACGTTCTCGAGTCATTGACTGATTGATATTGTATGTTACCACCGAATACGAGTACTGAAACAGTTTTTCTGAAACCACGTGCACCATTCAAACTGGCTGCCTTCAACGTTCGCACACTTATGCAGGTCGGACAACAGATAGGGCTGGCTATGTCTTTGGAAAGTCTTAATATTGATGTGTGTTGTCTATCAGAGACCCGTATTCAAGACTCTGGTGAAGTACTACAAGTTCGCTCTCCATCTGTCGCTTCAAAAATCTTGTTTTACGTGCGTTTATCCGGGGACCCTGTGGTATATTCCTCTGGTCTTGCTGGCGTTGGTGTCGCACTAAGCACTAGAGCTGAGGCAGCACTAATCGATTGGATCCCCATTAACAGTCGGTTATGTGCTGTTAGATTAGAAAGTTCCATCAAAGTGAGAAGAAATCGGCGTG